CCTACCTGGGCTCATCAGTGTTGAGCTTTTCATCTTGAAGACTGTGTAAGAAAATGGACGTAAATTTGAGCTATATAAAAGAGAGAGAGAGAGAGAGACTGAAGTGCTGAGTGCCAGGTCATACAAACTGAGATGCTGTGTCCAGTGATAATCTTTTTCTGTTTTGAAATTTGCAGGTGTCTGAAGAAGCATCGTCACTTTTGCTACCTCTTTGCTGTGGGAATGGATGGCCTCTGTTGTCTTTTCCTGCCAGTTCTCCAAAACTTCCCCTTGCTCGTGCCTTTCTCGTTTACCTTTGGCTACTTCGATGGAGCCTATGTAACACTGATCCCTGTCGTGACGGCAGATGTAGTGGGAACTTCTTCCTTATCAGCAGCACTGGGTGTCGTGTGTTTTCTGCATGCCATACCATATCTAGTGAGCCCACCTGTTGCAGGTCAGTTCACAAATTACTTTCCTATAATCTTATCACTACTTCAGATTTACCTATCAGTGTGATGTGGAAGGAGAGCAAATGCACACTGCATGTGGAGGTAGTCCCTGGGCAGGGAAATAACATACCTAGACCTTCAGAAGACTCTAGATCCCACTTAAGCCCTGTCTTGATGGGATGATTTCTACATACAGAGTGACTTGAAATTTAAAAAAGAAAACAGTATGGAACAGGGCTTCTAAGAGCTGTTACATCACTGCTTCATGTAGTTCAGAAATTGTGTAAGTAGAAGGAACGAAAGATTTCAGTGTGAAATTACATTATTTTGAAAATGTAATATAAAGAGAGTTTCATTCCAAGGATTTTTTTTGTGTGTGAAGGACTTGATCTTTTCATCTCCAGACTGCCTGGAACAGGTGGGTGAGACAGCTGTTACTACTGTTTGGTCACAGGCTCATCACTGTAATATCGAACCATCATTTTCCCCATTGGTTCCATCACAGTGAAGTAAGGATGAGAGCTGTACTCCTATTATTCTTTAGAAAGAACTTTGAATATTGTGGAAGGACAGAGATCTTTTTTCAAACAGCCATGTATATATGTCTTGCATATTTTGTCTGCTGTTCACATCAATTCCCAATTAACCTCTGCTTCTGCAGCTTTTAATTTAATTTTCCATAGCAAAAAAATATGGCAAAATGGAATTAAGTGATGAGCCTAGGGCATAGCTCACTAGATGTTTCTGTATGAGGATCTCATGCACACAATATTTAATCCCAGGGCTCTCTAAGCATGTCTAAATGACTATAATGACTGCCAGTTAAATCGATGCAATTGAAAGATGTTTATTTAATATTGTGGTGACGACTGCTGTGCCTTTTCTCATGGGTTTGACCTCTAAACAAAAGCCCATAAAAATCTTATCTGTCTGCTGAGGACAAATCCCTCTCTGCCCCAGGAGGTAAAAGTATAGTGACGGTGATGTAAACCCATACCGTTTGATTGTATTTGTATCTGATAACTCCAGAAGTTTATAAAACTCCTGTTGATGACAGGACTTGTAAATGATGAGAATTTTGGTGGGCGTTTAAAAACCCATGACTTGTTTTCCTACAGGTTGGCTTGTGGACACAACTGGCAGCTATACCGCATCATTCCTCCTGTGTGGATTTTCTATGATATTTAGTTCAATGTTATTGTGCTTTGCAAGACTAGCAAAGAAAATCAAAAGAACACATTTGCAGTCACTCACCAATGATACTGGCACCAAACAGCACATCTGGACAAACGGAGCAATAGCTTATTCTGTCACAGCAGAATTAGACCAAAAGGATGCTGAATTTTTGGCTGTGGATACAAACAGCTACAGCAACAGATGACAAGCACCGTCAGGATTCAGCACTGCACAGCCGTGACTGAGATGGAGGTAGCTCCGTAGTGTTATGCTGTTGAAGATATTACTCCTGTGAAAAAAGGCATCGCTCAATTAGATTTTTCTGTTGTGTTTTAGTTGGCTAAAAATCTACATACAGCAACAGTAATACCAAGTTAATGTAGTAACAGAAGAAAGCTAGACTGAAAATAGAGTTTGTAGATACCAATGTTCACAGATTTATTTGAAATGCAATATGTTGACTCCACAGGTAATCTCAAAAATAATAATTGGCTATAATCAAAAGAAAACTGTAAAGTAATCAGTCACCAAAACTTAACAATAAAGTTTAAATTATTTCAAAAACAGTGTTAATGAAATAAGCTTTTTGGTGGTCTGGTCTATTATGTTTCAATGGACTAATCGCACACACCACCAAAACACCTCCACAATTATCAGTCTGCATTAAACTCTTTCCAAATAGCTGTTTCAAATGCCAAAGCCCTTTTTTTTTTTTTTTTTTTTTTTTTTTTTTTAGAAAATCTGGCAGGAAACTGTGACTTATGCTGAAAGTATCACTGGAGCAGCTTTAATTTTTACAGTGTGCCTGAATTTTGTACATAAGTTGCAATTTAATTTCAAATATGTTTTTAGGCTTGCTTTCCCAAGCCCCCTACAGCAAGATTTTGAGGTGGTTGCTGCTTTTTTTTCTGGATATTTTAAAGCTTGACTTTCTAAACATTGACATTCCAGGTATGATCCTCCAGCTGATCCTTGTCTGGGAGGGTGGAAGAGGTACTGTGGTTCCTCTGCTGTCTGAAAAGGAGTAAATTTGTGCCAGGGGACTAGGCATGCTGATAGACAAACCTGCTTTAGCTGCATTAGTTGGAAGAAGCCCAAAGGCAGCCCGGGAGATTAGAGGAGAGGCTCGTGTTTTTCCAAATACAGAGCCTCTTCCTCCTGTAAAATTAGCAGCTGTTGAAAAAAATTTAGAGTCTGTGCAAGCAGATGACTGAGAAACTGCCCATTCCACAGGCTATTAGTAAAGAGGATGTTGGCTGACAAAGTTGTTTCTGTGTATCGCAGTGGCAAGTTTGTCTCTTCTTGGACCTAGGGGCTGTATCTTCAGATGGTGCAAATTACTCATCTGTCCCAACTGAAGAGCTGATCAGGTCACTTGTCCTGGATGGCCAGAACACAACAGCTGCCATTTGCTGATGGTTTCCTGCTACTTACGTGAGGAATATACTACAGCTGGCTGCTTCATGGCAGCTATAGACTCAATGTAGCTCATGGGGTAAATTACTGATGTGATGATTTAATAAATAATGGGATGTTTCTGCATTTCCAGAGTGAAACTGTTGTCAGCAATGGAGGAACTTCACACTCTGCAATGCAAATCACTTCTGTGTTTTGGTGCTGTAGAAAGCTGCATTCTGTTCATTAGCAAATTGATCAGAGTCCAAATAATTTTTCTTAATACTGAACTAGTAGTTTTGTTAATCATCTGCAGCGTATTCAATGGTTGCTCATGGTGACCTATTCCAGTCTGTGCCTCAGAAGGGAAAGCAAAATAGGATGATGTTCACAAATTTGATTTAGATCAAGAGTACATTCATAGTGGTATCATGTATTTTTTTATATGTATGAATAGTATGTGTATCAAGTAGTTCTATTGTTCATGCATATTTCAAATATATTAAAATTGTTTGACTTTAGTTGTCTGTGCTCAAACAAAGCATTTCTTGCTGCCTTGCTTCAGAAGTGTGGTCAGAGCCAGTAGCATGACTTACATGATCAGAGCACAGACTAAGAGATGGGAGTGCAAAAATTGCTTAGAACTAATGACATAACCTTTTTTCAGCTCTGCATGGCCCTAATTTTGATTTTAACATACATTCATAAAAAAAGACAAAAATTATCCATGAGTATTTCTTAATGAGTTAGGAAAAATATGCACCTTTGGGAGGAAAAAAAAGGTGGCTTTATTTATTAGTAGCAATAAAGATATTGTTTTAGATCTTAATGCAAAAGTTTATATCAAAAAGTAGGAAATATGTGGTCTACAAAGAACATAAGCTATTTCAACAAGTTATAATTTACCACTGTTATTTACTTTACAAAAATTTAATTACTTTTTTTACCACATCATGACATGTCAGCAGTTGCTCATACCAGAACTGCATCTTATAAAAGTCTGTTGGAATAATACTATATGCGTTTTATCCTAGTAAATGATACTGTGTAATACATTATTAGCATATTTTGATTTTTTTTTTAATTTCAAGATATTTTTTCATAGGCTTTTTCTTGTTTTCATAGGCAGTATTTCTTGTTTTAAATATCTAATTCAGCAGAAAACATTCAACTGGTTTTATACACGGACCTTTTGTAGAAAATTATGGAATTATTTCAGGATTTTCTAACACTGTTTCTGCTCTGAATTAAGCCAATGGACAAAAGCTTATATACCAGAATGATGCTCTCTGTGCATAAAACACACTGTGAAATATCAGCCCTGTTGTGAATCTCCCCAGCTCAGAAACAGAAGGGAGGAAGCATAACAAGAAATGACCTGCGAGTGGAAGAAACGGGAATGCAATCCAGGTTTGCAAAGCCTCATGCCAGGCTTCCACCCCATGATCCACACAACCCAAACTGAACAGCTCGTCTTCATCCTGCCATGTGAAACGTTTCAGGTGGCGCATTACTGAAGTCTCTGGATTATACCATTTTTAAAAAATGGTTTATTGTATCTGCAATGTTTTTTTCAGAGATTATAATATTCAGGCTGTTCTCCACAGAGGATATTTCCTGGCATGGCACGGTGCAGCAGTAGGCAGAGATACCTGGGCTGGCTGTGAACAATTTCCCAGGCTAACACTGCATGTTCCCACCAGCCCTGTTGAGCACTGATGGATACGAGCTTGAACGGAGCACTGCACCCCTGAGCCTGTCTGGCTTCCCGGGACAGCGTGGTCTGACTTGGCTGGGGTAACACCTGTCCGAGACAGAAACAGGCAGATCCTACCTCAGATGAATCCTGCCTGGAATAATACTCTATTGCGTGCAGTGAACGGGAATTCAGTTTAAGTGAAACTGCTTACAGCGGCTGAAGTTATCCCATCTGTTTCCATTCCATAAGGTTTGAAATGGGGAAATCATTTGAAATTGCTTATGCTCCAGTAATAATTTTTATCAGATCAGCTTTAGAACATTTAATAAATTGTACCTTGAAAAATTGTGTGAAAACAGCATTACAAAAGTCAAGTACCTTCTATTGAAAAATAATCCCGTTTTCAGAAAAAAAGAGAAAACTTGGAGCCTGAAACATTTCTGCCAGCTTGGATGATAATTTATCTCCTGAAAAACAAAGGTTGTCTGTGCTACTATATGGTGAATATATTTTATATTGCCACAACAATTCCTTGTTTGCTGTCTAAAGTGTAACAAATTTATGTGAGAAGGAAGAGCTTGTTTAAGTTAAGCTGTAACAGTACTTCATGGTCAGCATAATGAAGTCCTTAGTCGGGATCACCTCAATAAATCATACCTTCTTCTAAGTGACTATTCTGGTGTGTTCCAGTAGTTTTCTATATAATTTATAAGGTGCTTTTGATTCATAAATGAACACTTCCTGAAGGGTTATCTTCACTCCTTTTTTTCCCCCTGCACCACTAGTGTAGGCTCCAGTGATGTATTCATACTTGGGTGTGAACTGAGAGGTGTTCAGCTTCTGTGTGGTTCTGATTTTGCCCATTGGACTTGGACACTGCAAAATGTGTGTTTTGTCCACTTCCCCAAGCTCAAGCTCAGCCTCTTCCCTGTGTTGCCACGCCAGGCAATGCAGCAGCACCACCCTGTGGGAAATAACATTTCTCCTCATTTACAAGACACAAGGCAAAAGCTAGAAGGCAGTGTTTGCACAGAGCATCCCCGGGTAGTACTGCAGCCCAGAGCAATCCTCCAGAGCCCGAAGAAGGTAAGGCACAATAAATAGATTTCTTGCATCACTACGCCTCACAGTCAATTTCTTCACTGTGGAGAAGGTTGAGCCGCTCTGACTCTTGATAAAAATTCAGGCTCACATTTTTCTCAAAATACTTTATTGCTTCTCCTTATTTCCGCAAGGTTCATCTTCCAGGAGAGAGGCAGGAGAGGCCCTGGTGGCAGGGTGTGGAGGGGAGCATGAATGTGCCAGCACGGCTTTGGGAACCTGCACCACCTCTTCCTCCAATTCTTCCCTGCTGCCCTCCATGCCTTCAGGAGGGTTTGGATGGCAACGATGCTACCGTTAGAAGCCTCAAGATGGAGAAAGGCAGTGAGGTCGCCTAATATACCCTTTTGCCCACAACACCATAGGTAGTCACCAGTTCCTGACTTCAACCCTGCTGTTGCTCTTACCAGCTTTCAGGAGTGGTGTGTCAGTCCTGCTCCCAGTCCTTCCTGTTCTTCTCCCTCCCTGCTCTTGCCCTAGGTAAAAGACCTTTGTAAAAGAGAAGCTGTCAGGCGGCTGGAAAAAAAGGATGGATTTTGCCCCAGCCCTTTCTTAGGAAGAAGGTGTGGTTGTATTTCGTACACTGTTAAGCTCCTGATTACTTTTGCTTGTATTATGAAAGATTCTTTGAGGGAGAGCTGAGAAGGAAGAGGTTTCTTGATGTTTTGTGATCTGCCATCATATTTTACACTCCTTCAGGCCTGTCATCCTGTCTGTACATGGGACTGCTGTTGTGGGGGCAGGAATGTTCCAGGATGGCTGGAAACAAAAGTGCACATCCTTCCTGATGGGCTCTGTCACCAGTTTGCTTCATTCTACAGTACTGGCTAGGGCTCAGAAGTGTTTTGGAAGTACAGCATTAGTTTTTCCTGAGCACTGTGATCTATTATACCAAGGTACAATACCACGGAATTAGGCTGGCCTGTTGTAAAGAATACTGACTTTTAGTTGGTTATCTGAAGACAACCACATCCTCTACCCATTCTCTCTGTCCTTTCAGCCCTTTCTTC